AGACAGCCCAGACGCGTCTGGGCTGTCCGCTGCCCGCGTGTTCTGCCGCTTTGCTTCCTCTCCCTGGTCTGCTGGAGACCAGGGAGAGGGAGGGCCCCGTTCGTAACTGTGGATCCGACGTAAGTCGGATCCGCGTAACTCGGGGACTGCCTGTATTTTCCTTCAGTCATTAACATGTTCTCTTACGAGGATTCATTTGGATTCATCTTTATAGTTATACTAAATATGGGAATTTAACAGTGTAGGGTCAGATCCTCACCTGATGTAAATCAAGATGGCTTGATTTAATTCACTCCATCTACACGAGCTGGGAATGCAGCCTGTATAATTTAGGCAAGGTGGTATTGGGAAGCTATTTTCTCTATAACGACGTAATATTCTTACACTTACACATGTGCTCTCATAGCACCAATCTGAAGATCGTACCACAGCAAGTGGAATATACAACAGTAGATTTAAAGTAGGGGGGAAAAAAATCATAAAAAGGAGTCTGCAAAATCCCACACTGAAATTTAGCCCAACAGAAAAAGAAATTTTTCAGTCCCACAAATGCTTACAGTGCAGTTGTGTTTTGCAGGGCATCTTTCATACCAACTAGATGCAAGATGCTTTCAGATACACACAATTAAGAGCACAGGTGTAGAAATTAAAAGAAGCTTAGGTGAGAGAGAAGAGGCTTTGAGGGTACATCTGGCTGGGTTGATTTAATTGGTATTGGTCCTGCCTTGGGGAGGGGGCTGGACTTGATGGGCTTCTGAGGTCTCTTCTTTCTCTATGGTTCTATGATCTAGACTGCAAGCCTTTTGGAAAAGAGCGTCTAGACTACAACCAGTACTTTCAAAAAAGCCACTTTTTGAACGAGAGCACTCAGGCAGTCTGGATGCTCTCTTTCACAAAAGCAGTTGGCATTACATAGCGCCTTTTTTTGAAAGAGCACTTTAGAAACAAGGCGTTCTTCCTCGTAAAACAAAGTTTTCCATGGTTGAAAAAACTGCTACATTCTTTCAATTTACTTTTCAAAAACGCGGCAGCAGTCTAGACGCAGAGGGAAGTTTTTTCGAAAAAAGGCCACTTTTCGAAAATCTCTGTAATCTAGACACACTCTGAATGAGAACAGGAATGGTTGATGAGGTACAGAGATGAAAGATGTCCTGGACGTTATGAGATACTGAAGACTCTTACAAACACTGAAGATGACATGTGACAGGATGTACAGACAGCTGGTGCTAACTGCGTGAAGGGAGTGGAACAGAATAACGCGCTGATCTTGTAACTGAATTTGCATTGACAGATCCTGCCACCCATACAGAGCTCCAGTGACTTTACGTGGGCTATTTGAGGGCATGAGGTTCTGACTGCAGAATGAGGGCCAAAGTCAGAGGGAACAAGCGAAAATGTGGAATGAGATTTTAAACAAACTTAAGAGTAACAATGAACTGAAAGTTGAAGTGAATGAAGAGTGAATTGAGATAGTTAAGGGTGGAAGATGCTTTATAGACATGATGCATCCTTTATCTGACTGAACATACAATTAAAAATATTTTATTAAAATATGCAATTCACAGATTATTTAACTCCCTAAATTGGGTAAATAATGAAACATTTGTATCATTTGAGCAATACTGCAACATTTGTCCAATAAATTATTTCATTAGTTCTGCCCTGAAGTCAATTTGAAGTGGGCACCAGGATCCTGAAAAGGAATTCTACATTTAAAAAAAAAAAACTGTTTCCATGATTGCTAGTCTAACCCCTCGAGGGAGTGTGGATTTTAAGTCTTTTGCAGTCCTTGTTCTCGATTACATACCACAGCATAAAAAAATTACATTTTCCAAGGTGTGGAAACTGAATCAGATTAATAGATTATTTCAACGTTCAATCAATCAATCGATCAATTTATTGACTTCTTCCAGATAGATGTTTCCGTGACAGGAAGGCAAGCGGTTCTGATTCTGAGCTCATTTGGCACATGATTCCCCAGGACAGATCTCATGAATAGCAAGACAGAGTTTTCTGTTTAAAATGTTGAGCCATAAGCAAGCCCCCGCATCTCAACTAAGTAAGGGACAGTCATCATGAGCAATTCCCTCTCAGCACACAAGGTGCATCTCAGCAGCATAATAACAGCCATTATTCAGACTAGTAGCAATCAAACGTCCTAACTGCACTAAGCCCCACTTGAGGTAGGCAATCCTGAAGATTCAGACACAACGGTTTTCCAGGCCAGCATTTTGCACAGTTTCTAGCAACCTTACCTTATGATAAAAAGAGAATTCTGTGTGGTCCCCTGAAGAATTTGTGGCTGCGTACAGCAGACAAATCTACATGTCATCTCCTAGCTATATTACTTTTGGCAGCCTGGGGAGAATTTTGGACTATAGGATCTAACAAAAGACCAGCACCAGAAAGACTCCTTCAAGAAGCTATTTTCTTTGCATGGGCTCACATTTTTTTTATATGAGAGCTTCCTGGCAAAGTACTACTGTACAGTAAATCCTGCACAGTGCATTGCTTTCACCTTCCATCACATTCAGGCTATGGTGTTGTTTTTAGGAGGCCTCTACTTCTAACCATATCTTTGTTGCGCATAGGTGCAAACAGATGCTTCCATTTACGAGGCCACAATCTAAAGTAAATCCAGTGGACTCACTCTAGATTTACTTTGGTTTAAACGGCAGATGCTGGTCCTTATACTTGTGTACATGTCATGTCAGGCTTTTCTATGAAATATCTGCAAGACAGACTCGGAAGTCTCCTTTGGAGGAAGGTTTGCACCTACAATTGGTTAATTAGTCTGTAGTTTAGGAGTAATCCTGGACTGCTCACGAATGCCCTGACACGACAGCTAGTTACACTTTCCAGTTGGCTAGGAGACTGTCCTATCCGGATACAGGATGACCTGGCCTCCATTATTCACACCTTTGTCACCTCTCTCCTGGGTTACGCATTGCAACACACCTGGGAATGAAGACTTCTGTGTTTAGGATGCTTCAGTTGGAACATGTCCTCACAGGATGAGGAGTGACTCCAATACATCAAACCTGTCCTCTGCTCTCCATGGAGACTTCCTACAGAATATCACAGTGGCCATCCTGGTTGTTGTCTTTAAGGCACTACTAGTCTGGGCCCATGACATCTAAAAGAACGACTGAACCTCTGAGATGAAGACTGGGGCTGATAACTGCTCCTTTGGTACAATGGAACTTTCTCGGCTGCTGAGTAGAGGACAGCTTTCCTGGGGGCCGGGCCGAGGCTGTAGAATGAATTCCCACAGGAACAAACCTCACCACCTTTGCACTAAGTGAAGACATGTTTCTTTGAGCTATACATCTAGCAGCATGCATGTATAGAATACAAAATATTCCAAAATAAAATTTTCCCCCTCTCATGTAATAGACATTAGTAAAGCTAATTTGCACAGAAATGCACTCAGATACAACAAGAATGAAGATAGAACAAGAATGTTACAAAACAATCTTGCTAAGAGTCAGATGCACTTACTTGCAATCATTCATCAGAACAACAGTTTACACCTCTAGACTTAGGGCCAAAGACTTAATTGGTCTAAGCAAGTATAGCTCTATAGGAGTCACATACTTGCATATGCTTGAAAGAATCAGTATGAATACAGATGTATAGTAAACAAGGCCAGGGAAACATATTGTGTCAAATTTCACTTTATTTGTATTGAGAAAGTAGGTAACAGAAACAACACTGGACACTCAGAGGTGCAAATTCATCATTTGCTGACAAAATGTTAGTACAATCAACGCTGGGCACTTTTCATTTCCAGGATGGTAGCAAATTGATTTAATCATTTTACTAATCTATTAAGAAAAAGAGTGCCCTGGAACTATAATTTCAGATGAAAACGTAGCATTTAGCTGGGGTACCTTTTTGCCAGTTTAGCCACTAAGTTCATGATTAGCAGCAAACAATTAAATCTGACCTCCAAAAGACAAAATTTAAAAGTGTGTGTAAAGTCATTAAATAATAAGTGTTAGCAGCATACCCAATAAAATACATCTTGTACAAATATCATTGCACTTTTAACATATCACAGGCATTTTTCTTAACATTATTTACATAGTATAGTTTGTATAGAATAGCTAGACTGATATATACTGAAAAATAGTGGAAATGTTCACAGCCCTAGACAACGTCTAGTGTTGACTCCTTTTGCTCCATACAGTTTCTTGGGATGCATCATGAAAATTGTATACATATACCATTGCATAAAAATAGAATGTACAAAAAGCTTAATTCCCAGTTAACACTTCAGAAGGTTATACTGTGTTAATATATTAAATTGTTCTCTGCACAAGGAAACCATGACAATAGAGTCCAGCATCACCCTTCGAGTATGTTATGCGATAATACCAAAAGTCCCGCTCATTCGTATACTGTGCTTTACTCTGTATGCCAATCACTGTGTGACCATTACCCAGTGAGTTCCAAAGGCAGCTCCCTTCCACACAAGATCTCCCACTGTCTGGCAAGCAGTGAGATGAGTTTCTCACGGCTTTCTGCACTTGGGATAAAGATGCACCACTGGATCTAGTATCTCCAAAGTGATCCAGCGTTAAGTTCTGCATGAGATCTTGGTTCTGAACATCATCAAACACAAACGTGAGGGCCTGTGGATATGTCTGATAGCCCATAAGCACTCTATCTAAATCCCGTATTCGTCTGCCGTCTGAGAGTTGATACTTGTCTGTCTTTGGTGGCTCCTTTGCAAACGCAGGTAGTGGGTAACTGATATAATCCTCATTGAAAAGGAATAAATCAGAACTGGTTAAAATGAGTGTTTTAGCCTGAAGTGAACTATTGGCTTGAGCAGTTCCTTCTATATGATTCACTTGAAATGCTAACACATACAGAAGGATATTCAGAGAGTGGTGATTAGCCAAACTGTCCATCTTCTCTGCTGCTAGAAAAGCTAGGTCCCCAATTTCCTCTTCATTGGGATACATAAACTTTACTCGACTAGAGTGAATCAGTTCATAATTCTCCATTTTTCCTGCAAACACAAATATAAAGGAATTGTACTTTACATTCAGTATTACACGAGGTTTCCCTATGGCATGTGGCTAAACATTAGACCCTTTGAAAGAGTCTGTTGCAGCTGGAATAACTCAAGTCTAGGAATTATTTATACACAGTTTATATTTGTATAAAAATGTGAATAATTCATTTGGTCTGCATGGCCTTACTGGATTTCCCCTCTGCCTCTTGCATTAAACAATTTTCAGCTCAGTTTCAGTTATAGAATCTTTAATTGGTGGTGGCGATGTAAGAAGAAGAAAAAAAATAGCTGAATTCTCATACCACAGACAGTATGCGCCTTAATAGTAGCTGGGCGGGCTGGGAAGCCAAGTGACTTTTGAATTCTACATGGATTGAATCCAGTGTGGAATCACTGAACATAAAGAAATCCCTTATTATTGCTATAGAAGATGAACAGAGATCTTTAAATGGTTCCTCTGAAAACACCTCTCTCAAGTCACAATATCTAGTGGTGTCGTGAGCTGATTTTTAGCCTACTTTCCTTAATGGACTACCATAAACAGCTGCAAGAAAATGCTTCGTAACGGGCTTAAACAATGATTTCTTTATAACCTTTCCTACAATAATCATAAATACCACCAAAGAATTCAGCTTTATTTAGAGAACCCTCTACTAAAGTTAGAAATCTAGCCAAAAGCAGTTATCATTACACATTATAATGGCTGAAGGTATCAATTTAATACATCTTAAAAAAATTCTCTTAGATCTAACCTAATCTGACATTGCTATTGGTCCACGAACATACAAGCTTTAGAGACAAAAAGACATCTGTAAATTATAAGCTTAACCTATAAACACGAACTACAGCTGTAAATGGCCCAAAAGATTGAGTAAGGGATATTAATTTTTTGGATTTTAGTAAAGGAGGTATATTATCATTTTGTCTCCCAATATGCAAAACTTTCTGAAATTAAACATTTCTGTTAAGACAGGAAAGTCTAGGGTACTCACACAGGACTTCAAATGGAAGTGGAATTGAGTTAACAGGAAGCAAACAACCAATGCATACATTTTCACTTTTGGATTTTAAAAAAATATGTTACATGGTCTTTTATTTACTAAACTAAGAGTACAGAATGAACCACTCACCTGTATTTTTATTCCCAAATTCAGAGTAGAAGTCCTTATCTACTGGTTCTGGTGAAGGAGTACGTGCCAGCAATGACAGCACGGCCATGAGGTGCTGTATGAAGGCATGAGTACTGTAACTGTCTCTAGTTAGACAGGTTACTATATGACCCGCAGAACATCCTGGAGAAGACAGAACAAACCACTTACAACTTCAGCAAATGTTCATCCGTCACTATGTAAAGTTTCCTGAACAAAGTGACTGATATAGTTAACTAGTTAGAAATGATCCTCTGACCAAAGCCATTCGCATTGAAAAGGTACCTCATTTCATTTCGGAACAATGGATGTGAACACTCCTGAATGTAGACATTTAACCCTCTGAGCATTACTCAGAAAATTTACTCAAAAAAAATCCACCTTAATTTCTGAAAATATTTTACTGATGTCACAAGTGAACATTAAACTCCCTGCTTCTCCAAAGTTTAATCTCTGCACTGACACTTTGTATAAGGTCACCTACATCACCTCCTTTTTATGCTCAGTTTCCTTACAGTATCTCATTGCCACTACTGAAAATATAAGAACACAGGAATGGACATGTAGGGTCAGACCAATTGTCCTCTAGCCCAATATCCCATCTTCCAACAGGGGCCAATGCCAGACGCTTCATTGGAAATGAACAGAACAGGGCAATATTGAGTGATCCATCCTGTCATTTAGTCCCAACAGCTGATACACAGAGGCAAAGTTGAACTCATTTGGTTAAACTCACTCAATTTCGAGGTGACAGAATCCCTTAAATCAAAGTAAGGGCTGATTTTCAGTCTTAAAGTCCACCATAAAATTTGCAGTACAAATTGTACTCAGTGTCACGATCTTTGCACAAGACAGAACTGACACCTGGAATCCTAACTTTGGATTTGTTTTGGTGGGTCTCAGGTCCATAACATGAATGTTTTGTATACATTTGGCCTTACTGATGGAAAGTGTTAGAATAAGATCTAGCTATTATTCTGATGGTGCTTGTTTGTGAGAAAGCTAGGCTATTCTGTTGTATAACGGTCCTAAAAGAAGCAAGGATACAGTTTTCAAAAACTCTTCAGCTATTACGTCACTTGAGTCCCTTTGATTCTCATTAAGATTTAGCGATTTATGCACCTATGTCCGTGTTCAAATGGGACAGGTGCTTTTGCAAATGCCTTGGCCAGCTAGAAGTTTAGCGTATGCTTTTAGTGGAGGTCTCTGTTGGCATCACACCATCAAGAGGTTAAAGTAGGACAGCCCATGCAAGTTTAAAAACTGTGCAGAATGATGGAAGAGAGGCTTCAAGACATAAACATTTACGGTAATTTCTGGAGGCCAAAAGAAAGAAGATGGGAAATGACATTTAATAAGCGACTTGGATAAACTCACATTAAAAATGGAAGGTGCGACAAACTCTGAAGAATGAAAGATCAGGAAGAATAGTTTACATTTCCCTTATTTAATAGCCTTATGCATCTGGGAAGCATGTTCAAGTAGCATCCCACATAAAACTGACAGAATGGTCTCTTGACAAGAGACACTAACTCTGAGAACAGAGTAAGAGTCAGGCGTTGTTTGAATTCATTTCAACATATGCTGGGAAATCTCAATTAGTGTTAAAGACTAGATGACCTCTACTCAGCAAGCCTGCCAAATAAACCATTAAAACATAACTTATAGTCAGTGTTTACAGGTCATTACCAAACTTCTGCCCGTTCAAGTCCTAATGCAATTGTCAAATATCTTAATTAAACCATCATAAAATCATTTTCAGCTTTTTTTGTGTAAATGAAGATATAGCCACAGATTATCTGCCTTTACAATCTTAATTGCAGAGGCAATGGTGGTGAAACACTTCCACTACTACATGACAACAAGGCTACCAGTTTCAATGGGAGCATTCCATAAACAAAAATGTTTTCCACTTACGTAGTACACAAATTAAGAAACACTCAACGTGCAGAGCACACTATTTTCATTCACTGATGTGGCACCAAAAAGGGTCGCTTTGAAGATCCTTTTGGTTTGGGAGACCGTGGCGGTGAAGGAGCTGCTGAGCTGTTGCAGGAAGCGGGTTGCTGCCCTAGGTCCTAGGCTGGTCTGACTTAAGACTTTTTCATAAATATAAGTTTGAGCCTCCGGTCCCTGTGTTGTAACACTGTCACGAATCATGGGCAGTGCAAGCGGTTGGCATGAGTGGATTAACAGAAGTGAGCTGAAGAGAGGCCATAATAAGGTTCAAGTCAGTGCCCCGGAGTATTATGGACTCTTTTACAACTTTGAGAAAAAGGACTAAGAAAAAACTGCGCACACTAAGGAGACAAAAGTGTACAGAAGGAGGCAACGTTCCTAGATAAGAAGAATTAACCAGGGAGAAACCTAACCAAGGACATTCCGTTGCTTATCACTTGTGGTTAGACAAGCAGAATTGGGTGGAGTCAATAGGGTGCTTCAAGATTGGTCGTGAACACACCAGTGAGATGGGATGGTGGTGCCACTAACGAACATCTGTGTGCAACCAATGGATAACATCCCACCCGATTAGCCCCCGCCGTGGGGATACATACCGCACCATTTTGCCCCATGAGTCGGAGTCCATAAATTCAGCATATTGGGGTGACATGCATGTTGGACTCTCGCCTGAACCAAATTAACCAACATTATCTGGGGTTTGGCCAGCCCCAGAGGGTGAGTGGTATGTGTGAATGTGTTTGAGAGTATGTGTTAAATTGGGTTAAGAATTAGACTGTTAACTATTCAACTTGAACATTGCTTTTAACCTGCCTTTTAATTGCTAACCACTAAATTTAAATATTGCTTCTGAATTGCTTATAATAAAGTTTGTTAAAGGTACATTTTGTCTACTGTGAATTCACTGTTCCATGCAAATTTAAGACTATGGGGCTGTTGCGGACTGATCACCTGTACAACAGCACCCTCTTGTGACAACACTCTGGTGGCTACATGTTTCTGGGGGACGCATGTCTCACCCAGGCACAGGACACATTGAGAACGTCCATCTGGTTGTGCAGCATTTGAAGCCCAATGAGCCAGCATGGGGAGGACTGGTTGTTGAGAGAATTCTTTTATTTCAACAGGAAGAGGTGTTTGAAAGTACTAACAATGATGAACTACTAAACTATTAACACTACTAGAACTAAAACTATGGCTTGTTTCCCATGTCTATCTACTAGGTCATTCAGGACAATGGAGCTCCAGCTCTGGTCCGTGATGGTTGAGGGGGAATGGAGGAGTCCAGGCCACACCTGCAACACTTCTCTAGACAATGGTGTGGGAGGCAGGCACTGCCACGTGTACAGCCTGTGTGGTCACTACTATGAAACTCTGAGTACAGGCGCAGGGAAACACCAACACCTGGAATGGAGCGCCCACAGGGACATCTCGAAGAACAAAAATATATGAAACATATCAGTGGAAAAAGTTCATGACTGCTTTTTATGAATCTTTTACACATGGCTGAAGGGATTGTTCTCCCACATTTTATTTCACTTAAGATGAGGAAAGTGTAAAATTTCACACCCCAAAATTATTATTTGGGCAACATAAGCCACTAGAAGAGGACAGTTTTTTTAGCCATGTGTATTTATACAGTGGCACCAGTGAAACATGTATGTCACCATACTGGAAATGTGTTAATTACAAAAAGATGGCAAGAAAACATGGTCCTCCATATGAAAAACCTAGTGAAGGCAGGGATGAATTCAAGAGGATAGTAGTGCTTGTAACTAGAAAAAAATCTACAGCATAACATGTTACTCACCAGCAATTCGAAAATATTGATCAAAAAGTCCAACATTCACTGATTGCAGATCATTAAGTTTTAGCACAAAGCAGCAAGAGAGGTGGAAAGAGCTATTTTCACAATCTGAGTTTTCATGGTTCCACACATCTAATGAATTAAGAACACAGTATGAAAAAGAGCAAGTCACAAAAAGGAAGAATGTTAAATGTAGAAAACAAACGTGAAAATTAAGTTCATCTCTCAGAACAATCTTTTTAAAATAAATGATAAACTTCTCCACTGTTGTGTCTGAAACAAACTCATCCCTTGCCCATGAAAAGCATTATTCTTTAGTGACCCCCCCACTCCCTGGAGCAGCTGGCTTCAGAGGCAATGAGTTTTTGTGAACTGAGCACTGTGAGCCCAGGGGGATGGGTGTGAGAGGCTTCACACCACCCCCTCTCCCAGCACAATCTTACAGTTCCCATTGGCTGGAAAACACTCAAAGTACCCCTGCCCCTTCCCTCATACTCTCAGCATTCAGAGCAGCACATGGCCCTCGCAGTCTGTGGGACGGGGCCTCAGTCCTGGAGCCCAGCTGAGGAACTTGCTGGACTTCTGCATCCACCCTCCTATCCCAGGCCCTGCAACTCCTCTGTTAAATATCATGGAAGAGTGCAGCCCCTGACCACTTACATTCTTGGAGTGACCCCCCGCCCATCAAAAAGTATCGCCCACCCCTGCATTTAAACAAACCCTACATGTATTTAATGGCTAGAGTTCATTACTGTCTCCATTTCTGCCCACTCTTTAGTGGAACATGCACTTTGCCTTCCGAAGACTAGCACATTCAAAGAATGGCTTATGCATAATCAGAATAAAATTGTGCATCCTAAATCTAAAAATATTAAGCCTCACTACTATGAAAACCATCATGCAGTAAACCACTAGCACAGACTAGGAGACACACTGTTAAAAGCAACTGCGGAGTTTTGTTACTCAAGTGGCAAATATGGCTGGAAGTGTATCATAGTCTTGGGACATGCTGACTGCCAATGACAAGAATATCAGTAAGATACTCACATGAAAGAGGGGCCCAATACAAGCCATAGGCCTGTCACACGTTGCTGCTAGCAACAGACTGCCATTTCAATTGCACAAAAGATGCCAGGGACTGCTAAGTAACATCAGACAAAAAAAATCTGCACAGATGTCATAAAGGGGCTATTTGAAGCTCAATTCTGGATTAGACCCAAACCCCTTCTTGCAAGGTAAAGCCCTAGGTATCCATGCATACTGCAAGGAGTGAGCCTGGAAAAACTATGATGGGATGTTCAAGTCCCTTGGCTGCAAAACAAAGAGTGCTAGTCAGAACTACCCTGAATATAAAGGAAGAAGAGATGAAAGAGACACATTCATCAATCTACCCAAAAAGTGTACTCGAGATTCAAAATTAACCCTTTTTGTCTTACCCAGCTGGTGCTCATTTTCATTGGCACGAGTTACAGACTCATCCAACAGAAAGTAAATAGCTTTTGTTGAGAGCAACACACAAGCTGTCACTTCCATATCAGGAGTTTTATAAAATAAAACAGAAGACCACATAAGATGTCTCAGCTCTTCATTTTCCACCTGCAAGACAAATTGTGTTTGATTTTGCACATCTTCACCTCTGACTTACTAGGACTTTTGAGAACTGCTTTTCCTGGTAAAGCAAAGTGCACCTAATATCTGAACACAAATTCAAGGGTGATAATCTTTTCCCTCAACTTGCTGAGTGCAGCTTTATGGGAAGAGTTGTCCATGAAACTGTGCTAGTGAGCATGAGTGAATGGGTGACAGGAAGTTTTTGTTGTGGGTTAGCCTGCCACACTGTTCGACTCATTTCACAGCGCTGACGAGGAACTATATAAACCTGAAACCAGCAAACCTGAGAGTTGTATCACCAAAATCTAGGTAAGGAGCATCTGTTAAGTAATGTCAAGTGCCTAACATCTGAAAGAGCAACACAAACCTTCAAATACTATTGGCTTCAAGCACCTTTATGAAAAGAGAAAGGAGCTTGACTAGCAATTAGATTAAGTATCTCCACAAGGCTACCTAGCTTCTAGTCTAGATTTCCACAAATGTATTCATCACCTTGGGCAAGTCACTGAACCTCTGCACCAGCTTCCCCAGGCCTAACAACAGAAGCAAGGACTTCTCATCTTAGTAAAGCACTTTGAAGTAACATGTTATGTATTAAAAAGGAGTAGTCCTGTAGCACGTGGGAGACTAACAAAAATACATAGTATAATGGAGCTTTTGTGGGCACAACCCACTTCCTCAGAAGAGCACGAGTGGAAAGAAAGGGGGAACCCTCACAATTCATAACAAAAAAAAGAGGGAGAGGAGAAGTATCTGTCAATTATAGTGCTATGCTAATGAGGCTAATGGAGTGGGCTGGAAGTGTACCACATTTTGCAGAAAGGAATTTCAAAAGCCAACTACAGAGGGAGAGTGTGGAATTGACCTTTGTATGCAAATTTGATACTCTCTCTGCTGGGCTGAACAAAGACCTGAACTGGATTGGCCATTATAAAACCTGCTTTCCTTCCATACAACACCCAGCTGACATCAAAAGCTAAGTATGTGTCACATGTGGCCTGTGTCACTTTTACAGCATGCTGGGAGATGGGGGGAAGGAGATAAGGGTAGGCACCCAGGGGAAAAAAAAAAAGATTGATAACCTCTGCCCTAGACACTGGTCCAGTGAAGTTTAAATGGCACCAAACTAAATTCCCTCAGAGCCCTCCCTACCAATGGTTTGTAGCTTCCTAACTCTTACTGATTAAAAAAAAGAGCTGTCTCTTTCAAGAAAAACTTTTTCAAGAAAAACATGACATTAATTTAAGGCTTGACCATGTACTGAGGACCTGGCAGCCAGACTTCAGAGCTTTGTAGGCTCCCAACAACTTTCCAGAGACTCAGTGGAGGGGTTTACCCGACTGGAATCAGTTACAGGATTGGGGCCTCGATTAGCAACTTCCAGATTTAAGAGTGACTATTAAGCTCTGGGTTTAAGTTTGAACAAGAAAGATTTTTAAATACATTTCTAATTTTAAAAGCTTGATGGAAGCCTGCATAAAGCATCCCTAATTTGTGCACAATACCTCAGCAACGCTGCTATGGAAAAATTCCACAATGGCATTTCCTTTTAGCCCAGCCACATACTGAAGAGACGAAGAAATTGGAAGATAAACTGGAATTTGATTATCTTCCGAAATTTTCTGCATCAGAAATTCAGATGGATACAAGGATGATAGTGTCAAACAAGGCTTGCAAAAGCTAGAGGCAGAAGAAAGTAAGAAACATCACGTCAGAATGCACACAGAAAAAAACAACTACAGGTTGAACCTCTCTAGTCTAGCACCCTCGGGACTTGACCAGTGCCGAACCAGAGAATTTGCTGGATCATGGGAGGTCCATATTATCTAGCAACATCACCAACACTTCCACTACTTATTGGGCATTTAGAAGACATTTAGGGGTAAATTAGAGATAAATAACAGCACAGAACCAGGACTGGTGGCTGTAAACCAACCTTACGGGACTGTGGGAAAGATGGCCACACTCATGGTAAGTGGATATCTGGCCAACTAAATTCATACTGGATCACAGATGTTGCCGGACAAGAGAGGTTCAACCTGTAACAAGGAGAGATGCAGAGTTTTTCCCCACATATGCAACACTCGTACTTCAAATTCCATTCAGGAATTCAGAATAGAGATCTCTGGTTTAAATAGCTGTGTACTCTTATCCTGCCTCAATATACTCCCTGTTAAAGTAAAATAATTTATATAGTGAACACCTGTCATTCACTTTCCTTCTACTACGTTTCAGGCAAAATGCAAAGCTGCCTTTCACAGGAGTATATAATAGGCTATAAACAAAGCCAAGCAGAAGGTGTGAACAGTCAATTGACACCATATAACCTTGTATCCAAAGCCAAAAGAAAGGCAGTGCAAATACTAGGGGCCTGATTCTCAATCACTAAGATCCTGCAGCTCTGTTAAATGCACATTTCCAGTAATATTGTGCTGGTCAGACCACGTTAATTTCACCGCTTCACCATATGTATTTTAAGGACATCAATTACCCTGCTGTCTGGCTGTGTCTGTTTTTTGAATCCACGAGGTAATTTTTTATTGATTCCAAACTGTTGGAAGCTTTCAATATAATTATAGCTTTAACATCCTGCAGAAGTGTCCTCAAAAGACTGTAGATTCTTAGAAAGTGGAATTTTTCATGAGGTAGAACAAATACTGCTGTAACAAATTTGTATCCAATAAGTAACTCTAGCACATGTCCATCTGAGAATGATCCTTTCTGGTGGATAGGATGACTGGTCGGATGCAACACAACAGAAGCCAGTGGAATTCTGCTCAGCTTGAATACATTTCTTGCATCTTCTGAGTCTATACATTTAGCTGGCATTACATTGAAGTCAACCTTTACTATATGCAAATGCTGGGGTGTCAGAAATACCCAACAAGGATGGAATGCATAGCGACTCTGTTCAGCAGATTTATACAATGTAGAATAAAGTGCAGAACACAAGGCATGGTCAGACCATGCTCGGTTATCACCCACTGATCCTGGCAGAAACAAGGCTTTCTGAACATCCGTTTTATTACTGTTAACAAGATATGCTGGAAAGCAACCTTTTATGTCAATGTCATCTGCTGAAATGTGATCAAATCCCATCAGTCGGTAGACAAATTCTTGCAAGCTTGCTTTGCCACAGTACAACATGGAGCTTGAAAACATGGACGTGCAGCCTTGGGAGCAGCAGGCTTGCAAACAAGAGTAGAAGTCTTGAAGGTTTTGGGAGTCCGAAACAATAAACAGGCAGTTGTCATTATTTCTCACCTTGAGAGTTAAGCATATTTCTGGCATGAGAAAACCGAACTCTGTAAGATCCGTATATGGAAAGCACAATGCTAGTTTCAATGCAGATAGGATATGCTGGGAGTTGCCTTTTGATTCTTGATGAGGAATCTCAAACACAGCTATTACGCTATCAGTCAAAACCAAACAAGCAGCAAACTGCTTGAGTCCTCCTTTACGAACCTGAATAGAAAAACTCCAGAGAATTTTGACTATGTCAATGCTCTCTGCTCTTCTGCTATCAGGAGCAGGTGGGGCAGTATTTGAAGGAGCACTGAACTCGAAAGTCCGCTCTCCGAGTCCCATTTCAAAATAGCCATCTTCAGTATCTGAGGCACGAGGATCCCTCACAGGGCTCTCTTTGTCTTCTCTCTCAATAGAGGAAGGGGGTGATCTCTGCAAAGACTGTGCTATCATGGCGGAGAGGTGCTGGGTAAAATCCTGGTTGGTGGCAGTGTATGACATACAGGTAAAAGGCAAGATTACGGTGTTTTGAGGGTCAGGTAATACAGCATGTTCTTCATCTGAATGGTCCAAACTTCAGAGACAGAAAAAACAACAGTAAGTGTAAGGCTGAATTTCAGAGGAGTCATATGTATCCAAGACCTTTTCTACTGCATATCAAGACACTGATACCCAAACCTATCCAATCACTAAGAGAACGTCTACCACAGTGTAATTTGTGCAGAATATCTTGTGATTTTCAGTTACCAATTTTAAATACAAGACTGGTATCATTTAACCCTTGAAGCACTGACAAGTGCACAGAGGGACTACCGGTTCTTCATCCCTAATACATTTCATCGCCACAGGTGTAATGATAATTCAACCGGTATAAAGCAGGATGATACCTTGTCATTTGACCACTCCACTATACAGACACTGAGGCAGCTGTGGACTTTCATCTGCCTCCCAGAGTTTGATAAAATTTCATGAAGAAATTTTCAAGCTGAGCAAAATTTTCAAGCAGAGTTCCAAAAAGAGGAACACATTCTACTGTAAAGGCTAGGACTTGTGTCCAAAGACAGTAGCCAACTATTATTAGCAGATGTGTGTTAGAAGTTAGTCATTTCATCTCACCAAAGGTGATGAATTTTTCCATATTCTTTTGATAAGTCCAACAGAGAAGCAGGCATCTAAGGAGAAGAAAGGAAGGTCAGGGAGCTGCCAAGTTTTATATAACAAACAGAAGTGCCATACAAACTTCAGTGAACATGGGTTTAGTCATAGTACAGATCAGGGAGTTGCCAAGTTTTATATAAAACAGAAGTGCCATACAAAACTTCAGTGAACATGGGTTTAGTCATAGTACAGTACTAATCAATATAGGGTTCTTGAGCTGTCAGATCAATAAGTGGCTGAATCCTAAAGTCTGACCAGTACATCTCTTGCAGTACTTGGTAATTAATTTTCACCTAAGGGACCTCATTAAGAACTGAAGTATTTTGCTAACATTACTTTAGCAACCTGAACACCCAATGGAGCAGGCAGATACAGGTTCTATTTGTGGCTCTAGCCTTGAGTCTGCATGTCACCCATGTGTCTCAATTCCCTCCCCTGTAAAATGGTTATTTACCTACCTCACTGGGGTTATGAGACTGAAAAGCAGTTTAAGATCTTTGGACGAATGATGTTATGCAGTGTGAAACTTTACGGAGAAGGGGTAAAGGGAAACACATAGTAAAGTGACTTGTTGAAGATTACACTAGGCTAGTGGCAGACCAAAGGTTCCAGCTAACTCAGCTCCCCAAACAAGAATGCTCCCAATGTTGCTTAATATATGCAAGTTCCCTAAAACTAATGTAGCAGTGGTAAAAGAGCCATCAAGAACCTGGAGCCTAGATGGGGAAAACTGAGCCCACCTCGATTTCCCTATTGGCACCAAAGAGAAACTTCCCACCCAGCAGCAAGAGGATAGCTATCCCCATCCTGTGTCCATCCTGCCTTCAAGCAACCACACAGAAGTGACAGAGCGCCCCAGCCTCCAATCTTAGCAGCTAGGTTTATGGTAATGACAGTGATGGGATACTGACATGTCAATCTGTGATGGTCCCGATAGCATCATCACAATTCAGGTATTGTGAAGCAAGGTTAGGACACTGCACTCCTGTTCTCTGCAACTCCATATACGAAATGAATGGTTCTAAACATTAGAAGGTGGACCAAGAACTCTAGCACTACAGAAAAGGTTACATTCAGTGGAAAAAAATCCTGAAAGTCAGTATTGTTAGTCCACAGGATCAAAAGTCAGTTACTGTAAATTAGGTCTCTTAGTTCTTAACCAGAGCTGGACAAGTATTGGATTTCCTTTTAACACTCAGATATCTTGCTTAAAACCTGAAAACTGATTTTACACCCAATTTATTATGAAAGTCCAGAATAAAAAAATGAGTCTGTTTTAACAAACTGTAAGTAACCTCCTAATAACTGATAAGTAATTTGGTGCTAACTCTTCTTTGTCCCATTACAACTATTCACGTAGTGCAAAAATAATCAGATTAATACAAAAACTCTGACTGGGATTATTTTAACAAAAGATTTTGCTCCAAGAAAAACCATGAATTAAAAACAATTTTAAACAGAAGAGACATGGGAGCAGAACTGCAGTTACCTGGCTTCTGTATCTAGTGTCTAGTATTTCAGAGCATCTCTGGGTAACTGTATGGTCTGTAGGAGTCGAATTGCTGGATGGAGATAAACTGCTGGCTAGGGCTGTTTTTCTACAAATTATTTCTAGAACAAAAACAAATAGCTCTTAAAGAATGTTGAAACAAAATCAAAACATTATCTAACTGACAAGTATTCTTAAAATATCTAAGCAAAACTTGACAAGTGGTTATTAATACAATAGAGTATAGCTTCATAGAACATACGGTACCAAAGGAATTTTGTTTATATGGAGACTCAGTAGCTGCACAGAGGTCTGCACTTACAGCAGAACTTCCAAACAAATGATTGCACATCTGGCATAGTGAACCTGGCAGTTATCTGAAGGATAATTTATGTCAAACATTTATTGGCTGGTAGAGCAATTCTAAAAATGCAATGCTTTACAGATTTTGTGCCTTTTTTCTCAGATCTCTATGGTCTACTAAGTTTACAGCTACAAAATCCCACCAAATCCAAACCCCCCTATCTCTGATAGCTCAAATGTGGCTGGTATCCAAAATACTAATCTTAAACAGTTATTTCACCTGATTTTAGAATAACTGATTTGAGTTAAACAAGGACTAGCTGTCCAAACCACATTGCCTGAGTGTGTATGCAAGGGTTGTATGGGAAGCCCTAGGTACTACAGTTTGGACTTCCTTGGTCTGGCAACCTCGGGAAGTGACCAGTCCCAGATGAGGGATTTTGTCAGGCAAAGGTGGGTCATTTCTGGCCCCCCTGCTACCAGCATGCAAAGGTGGGTCATTTCTGGGCCCCCTGCTACCAGCATCCTACCCCTAGCCCAGCTGCCACAAGGAGCTTGCTGCCTGTCCCGTTGCCATGCTCGCTCTCTTGGGCAGCCCAGCTGTGGCACGCTGGGTTCCTGGCCCCCCTGGCAGCCCACTGCCAGCATCCTGCCACCCTCCTGGCCTGCAGTGCTCCCAGCCTCCAACCTTCCACTGGAACTCTTTGGTTCTGGAACATCCGTGGTCCTCCTGGACCACGGATGTTGGCAGACCAGAAAGTGCCAGTTTAGAGAGGTTCAACCTGTATTAACAGTGTTTATGCACATGATACAGGGAATCAATTTTTCAATACTACCAATTATAAGGATTCTTACATCAGCATGTCAAATACATAATTTAATTATTAGAAACAGGTGCGCTTGGACCATTTATTGATATTGTTATTCTTGATATGAAGAACAGCACTTGCACAGAAGTTATGGATGCAACTTTCTAGATTGGCTTTAAAAGATCATTTAGTCAAATCAAATATTCTTTCCCAACTCGGAAGAAAAAAAGCTATTTCTTTTTTGCTTTAACCATGCAGGGAACAAAATTAGCTAAGAGGCTGCTAAAGCATTATTTCTGATATATTATTTCCTGTTCAGTTACATACATCTCTCCGGTAAGCAATTTACTGCAACATTTAACTGTATTAATACATCATGGAAACAGATGTTGTCTTGAAAGACAGCAAAGAACACAGCTCATAAAAACAGCATGTCACCAAGTGCATTGTTCCTGGTAGTTCCAAGTCTAACAGTAAAACTGATTATTAGAGTGCATATTTCAACAACATTTCTAGCTAGAATTCTTAAAATCAAGTGACATTTAGAAAATACCCTTTCCGAATGCCCAAATATTTACAAGTAAGTTTTAGAAATTGACCTCAGCAGCAGCTAGTTTGTATTATTGGACTTCTTTTCCAATTCTGTTTTTTTTTGTTTTGTTTTGTTTTTTTAAGTTTTAGCCTTCCCTATCTTGTTGTGAAAACATCTTACTAAAGATTTATGGTAAATCAACCTTAATACTCATGTTACCTTTCTTTCAGCAAATTTTTATAAGATGCCCGAGCATTTCAAGCAGTACATCTGTGGTGTGAAAGAACCGTAATTTAACATACTCTTAAATATTTACAACAAAAAAAAAATAAACCTAAATATTTCCCAGAGATTTGTAATTCCATTGTGCAGCTATTTGTAAACTATTCCCCCACCTTCCTTTTACTTCTTCGTGGATGCCTTTCTAAAGATTCATGTTGATATTTTATAACAAAACTCCATTATCAAGCAGTGACATACACAATATGGAATACTTGAGTACTTAGAAAAACAGTGACAGAATCAAGGTACCTAATAAATTAAGTAGCAGCTATCCAGAGTTAGATTACATTTTATCTATACACTACAAATGCAATCTAAAATAGACTGAAATTATACAGAGTACATAAAAAGGTAAAAGTCATTGTCTGCTCTGAGATGTCGGTTCCTATACTGGTTATGTACAAATATTCATGTGGATACTATAACAATCTTTGCTTTCTCACAGAAGAAATTGGAGAAGCCTCATTAGATTCTGCAGACATGCTGGTAACATCTTGTTCTTTCCCAGATTACGAGCATGATCTGTGGACACTTTTCCATCTTCTTCAGCTGGACTACAATGTTCACACAAAAATGGCCAACTGCTTCCCATTCCAACCCATACCACTTACCTATACCTTGGTTTGCAATACCCTCTTAAGGAATTAAAAGTAGTCTTAACTCCTACCATTTGTTTCCAATTTTCATGTAATAATTTTGAGTTTCTAACTCAACTAATGCCAAACAAGCCCAGTGATGTTCACTTTATCCTTAGTCATGTATCAGCAGTCCTGTAAATATGAGGTACACAGAGCACAAAGCCTTTTTGTATATGCCCTGTATAGGCAGCGGGTTTGCTTTTATGAACATGTGTCAAGAGGATTTTGGCACAACAGGTATACAGAGACCACAGGGTTAGAATCAATGCTAATATTGCTATTACAGATGTTTTTCTCTGCTGCCTGTCTTTCGGTTTCCTTACTCAACCGTGTCTCTTGTCAGAAAGCAATATGGGAACCACCATCTCATCAACTCCCTCTTAATATCTCAACACCAAACAGGAAAGAAAAGGAATTTCAAAGCATCGCTTTACGTAGAGGAAAAGCTGGGTGTATAGTCATCCACCTGTGGTTTGAGCAGAATTAGATACAGTGACACAAAGATTTGCACCAGGTTTACGCTACAGCTACCACAGTTATCACCACCAGAGGAAAACCACAAGTAAGAGTTTTACTATTATAAACATAGCTTAGATGTCTGGGACAATACCCATTCACCTTTACACTTCAACTGATGCTGACAAAGCCTCGTATTCAGTATATACACTTCATGTATATCAATGCAGCCTAGAAAATCAGGACCAAGAGGCCCGGCCCAGCAGCACGATACATACATGATTACCTTGGCTGGAGCTGACAGCACGAGGCAGAGAAGGAGAGGAAGGATGAACAGTAAGAGAAGAACAGTTTGATTTGGAGCTGGCAGCAGTGAGCCTGGAGTCCTCACTGATCTAATAAAGAAAGTATGTCGTGGTTAAAGATACAAGAATACCCCTGACAATAAACCTACAGAGCAAATATTAGATCCAAGAACTCAAACAAATCCACATATGGCTTGTTTTTTTGTAAAAGCTCAGATATTAATTTATCATATGGCTTGTTTTTTGTAAAAGCTCAGATATTAATTTTTCAATTCACATCCATTCAAATCTGTTTTTTATTTGCTGTTAGTGATATTCTGTTATAAGGATCAATTCTGGAAAATGCCATTTTGATAATATTAACCACTTGATGGAACAGTGCATTTCACACGTCAGATGAGTGACCGAAAGGAAAGCACAAATTCTGCTAGCTCTTCTAATGCCAACTCTGGTATCATGTTCCTAGTGCAGGAAGAACCTCATCCGATTTGCTTCTCAGAGAAAAAAAATCAAAGAAATCCCTATCAGTGCCAACAGGGAGGGATTTTTAAAATTTTTTAATACTTTTCTGCATAATCAGCGGAATTTGTTTTTGGTGATCTTTGAATGAACTTTACACAAATTATAACATGGACCAGCATAGCTGTGCTTCTCATCAAGTTAGTCACTCTGTATATTGTGAAGTCATTCTATCCATCCCTCCTTCTCTCCATCTGCCAGACCACCACAGAAAGGAAGGCCAAGATATTACTGAAGTTAAAGGAACAGAACAGAGAAAATGTGCAAAACTGCTGCATTTAAAATGGATCAGACATTAAACAAGCAAGAAAGGAATGGTTTGTAAAAGTTGTTACAATATAGATGCTTCATTAGTAAGCCAAGTAGATCCAAGAGTAATTTGAGATATTATCCTAACTTCTATAATTTTTTGCAAGCACTAGCATTGTCCATGTTCTACTCACATGGTTTCTTGCCCCCAATCCTCTCCTTTTCATTTACTCACCTTCTTATCAGAGTTATTCAGTTTGTACTTAACCTCCTTTGCTTTTTGAATAGCTTTTAACACCTCTACAGTGTCAAGTTCCTTTTCTGTGGTACTGATATTATCCAAACAGACCTAAAGAAAATCCATAAAGACAAATTGCTTGGTTATGCCTTAATAGCAATACTGAAAGAACGATATACTCATTGAAGCAAGACACCACCACTATTTTGAGATGACCATTGACTGTTTATGATCAGGGCTCGACAAATAATGTAATCTACTCGCCTGTGCCGAGTAGATTACAACCCGGAAGAGACGGCGCAGAGCGCAGAACTGCGCGGCTGGCGAGCGGGGCTTGCTGCCGCTTGGCGAGCCCTGCTTATCATTATACCAATGTTTAAAGTAATCTGGTAGCATAATGACAAACTAAGTACATCTGTAGGACTACTTTGCATGGAAAGCCAGACCTTCCTACCTTAACTTCTAAATGACCGAGACAATTTTAATACAAGTTCAAAAATGCCAGAGAAACTATTTTCACTCCTCAGCAGAAACTCTATTCAAGCATAAATGTGCCACTTCCTTCCCTGGACAAAGCCTTACATTTTTCAGCTGCGCGGTTCGGCACGCTGAGCACGTGCAGACCATGCTGCGTGGCTGTGCCGGCTTGTAATCTGCTTGTAATCGAGTAGATTACACTAATTGTTGAGCCCTGTTAATGAGTTAATCAATAAGAATACCAGTAAGCACAAGGCTTATTGGAATGCTTACCCATTAACAGGCACTTGCCAGTTAATTCCAGTGGTGGCCAGCCACACTGGACTGGAGCAGCCTACACTGTGGTGGACTGGGGGGCACAGGAGGAACCCTGGCCACGGAAGCATAATAGTACAAAATGATAGGGTATGTCTACTCTACAGCACTAATTTGAACTAACTTAATTCGAATTAGTTAATTCGAACTAAGCTAATTCGAACTAGTGCATCTAGACCTAAAAACTAGTTCAAATTAGCGTTTTGCTAATTCGAATTAGCATGTCCACATTGAGTGGACCCTGAACCGAGGTTAAGGA